GTGTCTGTGTCTGAGAGTGCCTCTCTTGTTCTAATTTTTAGTCTTGGTTTAGTAGGAATTCTTGGTTAAATTGGTGCTGTTGGGCTGTTTCTTCATGAGCAGCTGATCTCAGTTGGTGAAGTATATACTTATGATTCTGGTGATCTGGTTTGGTGGCTGGGCAACGCGTTCTTCTGTGTTCCCAGGTCACGTTTTGTTCATTTGTCGACTCCTCAGCTGATCTTGTTTCTTCAGACTTCAAACTGTAGGGATCTGAATCCTCTCCCGGATGGATTTCAGCTGAGTGGGGTAGTCTCGCCAACACCTCCAAGTTGTTGGGTCTCGCAGGATCAGCAGCTGGGCCTTGGGTTGTCCTCAGACAGAGTGTTCACATTTGTTCTGGTTCCGTCCCATGGAGACAGCTTCTTCCCAGGATGTTGTGATTAAAGGCGTCCCTGTTCCAAGCTCTTGATTAAGAGCTTATTTTCACTAGCTCTTCAGTGGGTAATAGCTCAGTTTCTGGTCTTTATTTCAACTGTGTTTCGGCCACCGTCTGCTGGGCCTTCCTGCCTCCTCACTGGACTTGTCTGCCTCTGCTGGGCCTGTCTCCCTAAGTGGGCTGCTGCCGGACCTACCTGCCTCTGTGGGCCACCGCTGCTGGTCCTGTCTGTCTCTGCAGGTCGCCGCCGGGCCTGTCTGTCTCTGTGGGCTGCCGCTGGGCCTGTCTCCATTGACTATTTTTTAAAGACTACTTCTGAATTCCTTGTCTAATATTTCAACCTTTAAATATCCTTAAATTCAGTATTTAAGGACTTATTCTATTTATTCTATTCTATTTTATTTATTTATTTATGTGGTGGTATTGTGTTCCCCAAAATATTGTGTATTCTAATAAATTTATCTGGGGTCAGAGAACAGACAGCCACTAGATACAAAGGCTAGAAAATGGTGGCACTCACACCTTTAATCCTAGCATTCCAGAGATAGAAATCCCTCTGGATCTCTGTGAGTTCAAGGCCACATTGGAAATAGCCAAGCATGGTGACACATGCCTTTAATCCCAGAAAGCCAGCCTTTAATACCAGGGAGTGGTGGTAGAAAACAGAAAGATATATAAGGCGTGAGGACCAGAAACTAGAAGCTTTTGGTTGGTTAAGCATTTGGCTGGTTAAGCATTCAGCTGAGAGCCATTGGGATGAAGACACAGAAGCTTCCAGTCTGAGGAAACAAGACCAGCTGAGGAACTGGTGAGGTGAGATAGCTGTGGCTTGTTCTGTCTCTCTGATCTACCAGCATGGACCCCAATAACTTGCCTCAGGTTTGATTTTATTAATAAGAACTTTTAACATTCCTGCTACATATTTATTTATTTATTTATTTCTTATTTATTTATTCTTCTTTCATATATTATATCCTGATGGCAGTTTTCCCTTCTCCTCTCCTCCCAGTCCCCCTCCTCCACCTCCAATCTTCCCAAGATCCACTCCTTCTTTGTTTCCCTTCAGAAAAGAGCAGGCCTCCCAGGGATATGAACCAAACATGGCATAACAAATTACAATAAGACAAGGCACATACCCTCATATCAAGGCTGGACAAGGCAACCCAGTAGGAGAAAAACAGACAAAACAGTCAGAGACTGTTCCGGCTCCCACTGTTGGAGTCTCACAAGAACACCAGACTACACAACCATAACACGTATGCAGAGGAGTAGGTCAGACCCATGCAGGCTCCCTGATTGTTGGTTCAGTCTCTGTGAGCTCCTGTGAATCCTGCTTAGTTGAAAGCCTGTGGGCCATGTTCTCCTGGTATCCTTGACCTGCTGGGTTCCAACAATCCTTCCTCCCCTTCTTCCTTGTGATTTCCTGCACTCCACCTACTGTTTGACTGAGAGTCTCTGCATTTGTTTTTATCAGTTGCTGGTTGAAGCCTCTCCAATGATGACTATGCTAGACACTGGTCTACGAGTATAGCAGAATGTCATTAGGAATCATTTCATTGACTTTTTTTGCCAGCTGTGTTTGGTTCTATCCTAGGTCCTTGGGCTATTGAGCCTTTCTGGTCCTGGCTCTCCAGGCAATGTCAGGCATGGACTCCCTCACCTGGCATGCATCTCAATTTGGACCAGTCATTACTTGGCCACTCTCATAAGTTTTGCATATCCTTGACCTTAGAACATTTTGCAGGCAGGAAAAATTGCAGTTTGCCTTTCCTGGTTACAGAAGATGGCTGTTCAGGCTTTGTATTCCCTATTACTAGATGTCTTCACTAGGGTCACCCTCATTGATTCCAGGGAGTTGAGGAGTTATTCCTAATAGTAATTCTTAAATGCTAGTAGTGTTACACTCCCAATTTTGTTCTTTTGCTTCTGTATGCATTGCTATCAGTTTGTTGCCCAGCATAACCTCTCCATACCAATTTCAGATTTTTATTGAAATGGCTTCAGAATCTATAGTCCAATGAGAGGAGAACATATACCTCAGTAAACATTATGTCTTCCATTTCTAAAGGAAGACTATGTCATGATTTATTTCTTTTGAACTTATGTTATGACACAGTTTTCTTCATATAGTTGTTGCTGGGTACCTCATATTTTAGGCGTGTTACTGTAAATGATATGCTTTTAGCTTCGAGGTTTGCTTATTTATTGATAGTATATAGGCAAGTTATCATGAATATTAAGTTTGCATCATAAAATTTTCTAGTCATCATTAATTCCATAAAGTCTTTTTTGTCACTTCTTTCCAAGTTCTCAATAGGCAGTTCTTTTACTTCAAAACAATGACTTTCTAATATGTTTACCATTTGCCCTCAACCTTGTTCTTAGCATCATTATTTTCTACTTACCTTTAAATATCCATCATTTGCTACTTTGTTTCTTTTTACAACCTATCAGACACCCGCTCTCCACTGCTCACCTTTTTAGCTCTAACTACATCCACAGGAAATGCAGATGCAGGGGGTGGTGTGCCAGGTCTGAAGGCAGGTTCATCCCAATTCTGTCCTTGCTATCTGTGAGAACTTGAAAAACTTATTTAATACCATTCATTTGTCAAGTTAAGAGGGAAATGTCTCCACAGGCCAGGAGAGGTGATTGGCAGGTGGTAGGTGCATAAACAACACAGAAAACATGGTCATTACTATTTGAAACCTTTACTCTTACACATCCTGCCTTTCATTCTTCCTGTGTCAGGATTGGACTCATGTTCAGAGATTTTAGAAAAACTTTCAGGATTTTCTAGGGGAAATATTTGTTTGAAAAATGATAAAAATGTGATAGAAATGTGGAAAAACTGAGTTGTTTGCTGTTAAAAGCTTTAGGAGGAAGAGAGTCTTAGGCTCTTCTTGACAGAAGGAACCTATCTCTTCCTGGCAATTCCTGCACAATATAGGTGGATTCCAGTTTCTTCAGAGGTTGCACCAGGGGCTTGGTATTAGCTCAGTGGCAGAACACTTGGGTAGCATGGCCTGCTTCAGTTCCAGCACAACAAAAACGCAGAAAGAAAGGGCAGAGTGACCACAGGTGAGCTGTTTGTAGAACAAAGTGCTAAACAGTCTTTTAAGAAAAAACCCAGAGCCAGATATAGGGGTTAAAACCTGAAATATCAGAGGAGTAGGAATAGCCACAGCTAATCTCACCTCACCAACTCCACAGCTTCCTAAGAGACCTACTTCCTGTATACTCATGCCTATATGCCTTTCTGTTCTGCCATCTCATTTCCTCTCTGCCCAGGTACATCACTTCCTCTTCCTGCTTAGTTCTGTCACTTCCTGTCTGTCTGTACAGACCTCCAGACCTTTATGGTTAGTGCTAGGATTTAATTCATATACCACCATGCCTGGTTCTGTTCCCAGTATGGCCTTGAACTCAGAAAGATCCAGATGGATCTGTGCCTACTGAGTGATAGGATTAAAGGTGTGTGCTACCTTTGCCTGATCTCTGTTTACTATAGTGGCTGGCTTTTTCCTCTGATTCTCAGTTAAACTTTATTGGGAGACACAGATAAAATATCACCACAGCTGTTCTATGATATTAAGTGTACATGCAAATGCCAGTCAGGTAAAAGACCTGAGTGGGACTCAGGGGCCTTCTTCAATTTTCTGGAAGTTTTAAGGCATGGAATCCTTGCCACAATTCTGAAGTGGGCGGGCCGTGGTCAAGAATGATTAGGGCTGAATTTTCCACAAGCTTAGCAAAGAATGTTGGAGTTAAGAGGCAATTTATGACACGAAGAAATAAATTCTTGCCCATCTGAATGTCAGAACTAATGCCTACTTGCTCTCTAGAACTACCATCATTTTTATTCTGTTACTCATATTTAGTGCAACCTGCTATGGGATGTCTTTCTGTATACTGTGAATATGTGTTGCTCTGATTGGTTGATAAAATAAAGCTGCATTGACCTATAGCTCTAAGTAAGTACTGTATTACAGGCCCACCTCCACTCTATTCTTGATGAAGCCTTGTGGGATGGGTCATCTGGAATTGTAGTCTCCTTTGGACACAAATTCCTGACATGTTTCCACATTGCTTTCTGGTAGGCTGGGGAGCTTTGAAGTGAAGAGTTTACTTCTGATCTTCACTTCTCCCTGGTACCTATGGATCCTAAAGCTTAATATGAATATGAAACAGCCTGTTCAACTATACAGGAAAACTTGAAAATATTCACCTCTCTTTTGCTGCAAGGGATCCAAAATTCTCTTAAAGTTCCCGACCAGAATCACTGACTCACTCAGTTTATCAAGTGAATTATTTTTAAACATGCCCACTAGTCCTTTGTATTATTATTATCTTGGTTTTAAATATTTTGTTTCAGAATAACAGACAATATTTATTTATTTAGAGAATTTTACTATGTATTCCAGGCTGGCCAGAGTGACAATCTCCCTGTTTCAGCCTCCTCTTCTGGGATTAGGTGTGCTAGAATAGCCAGCAAGTCAGAAAACTGAATCTGCAAAGAGAAGATGGAGGGACTGAGCAGATCAGTGGGTAAAGTGTTCCCCCAGCAAAAATTAGGACCTGACTTTGCATTCTCAGAATCCATGTAAAAAAAAAAAGGCTGTGTGAACATGTGGCTGTGAGCCCAATGCACATATACTGAGTGGGAGGCAGAGATCAGAGAACCCCCAGAAGCTCATCTGCTAGCATCAGTGTAAAGCATTGAGACCCTGCTTCACCTGTCCCAAACAAAGTAGAATATGACTGATTGACAATTGGGTTATCCTCTGATCTACATACACACACTTTGGCATGTGCATGCCTATACACAGACACATACATACACAGACACAGACACAGACACAGACACACACACACACACACACACACACACACACACACACACACACACAGGGGTGGGGATTGATGTAAGAAAGAATCCAGAAGTCAGAGCTGTTTGGATACTTAAAGCATGGGCACACAGGCTTTTGTAGTATAATCAGCATGGATTGGGGGAAGGTGTTCTGTAACGTGCACATCTCTGTAGATGAGTTGAAAGTCTGTCATTTTACTATGGCTCACAATTAATTTGATGAGTTGACTCATTTCTAGTTAGCATCAATTATGACCTCTGTGGGTCACCTTGGGACCCAGAAAATTGCCATGGCTGCTGAGAATTAGAAGTCTTGCTTTTATAACAGAGTCTGAAGGAGGTCTTCCAAAGCAGAAGGTGTGGTGAGTCCATGCTCAGAGAACAGCAGGCTACTTCAGTTCTGCATAATTCACTGGGTTCTTCATTTTCAAATATGTTTTTCCTTGAGAATTCAGCTATTAAGTCCCCACTGGTTTAGATAGATATGAAACATTGAACATCCATTTGCTTTTGAGCCCTCAGTGAATAGCCAAGAGGATGTTCCTTTAGAAAATATATATTTTATTCTGTCCATTGCATCTAAATGAATCAGCAGCAAAGCTGTGTTTATTCAAATCCATATGCAAATATTGACTTATGCCTTGCAATGAAGTAAGCTTCATAGCTTTTAGAAGAAAAACATAACACAGATAAACATTTATAAGCAATTCAAATATTAAAGAACTTGAGCATTTCTAAAGGCGTTCATATATGAGGCCTTTTTCTTTCTAGGATGTCATTATGGTTCTATAGTTATTTACAAAATATAGTTACTGAACTTCCTAGCTTTTATATTTGAAAGTATGTGTTTATTTCTGACAGCAATAAAGCCAATATATTATGCATTCATACCATCCCTTATAAAAGTCCTTGGGGAGAGATACACAGCTCACTGTTCCCTTTTAAGGTGATGTCATAGTGAAATGGGACAGTTAATTTAAAAAACTGTCACAGGTGTAGCTAACTCTTTCCAGTAATCATGGCTGAGGGGTGTTTTAAATGCTGATTCTGATGTTAAGAGGCAATAACTTTGCAGAAAAATATCTCCTTTCAGCTTTCTTGCATCTAACATTTGTTCCTCTAATATAGCTGTTATTAAAATGCTATAGAACCTGATTAGAGTACATGCTACTGTGGTATCCTGTCTCCTTTTTCTTTTTTTTTTCATTCAGTTATATTAAAATGTCATTTTAACTTGCTCTAAGCCCTGAAAAAAATTCCCCAAACCGACAAATTAAAGATGGAAACTAGAGATGTAAGAAATGTTCCAAAGATCAGTTACTACCCCCCATTACCTTCTACCACCCATGAGGAAAGCCCTTCATAATATGTCTTACAAAATAACAAATAGCACATCTATGAATTGTTAATCACATAAGTCAAAAGTGCACACCCAACTTCATCTGAAAGTCTAAAATCATCTCTTCTATTAAAAAAGGAAAACATGGTATTGAAATAAATGATGTTTGAGGAAGATTTTATTATCTTGTTATAGGAAAAACAAACAGAGAGTAGGTGACCATGAAATCGACAAATTAACAAACAGGTTTCAGTTTAGTTGACAATCCTTGTAACGAACTTATTTTTGAAAGGTGTTGGCTAAATTCTATTTAAGATGCACAATTCTATGTGATGGAGGGAACTCTCAAGGAAATTGTGATCTTCAAGTTGAGTTATGACATGCACATGAATATCAGCAGGACACTACCATCAAGTGCTACTGATTCGAAGGAAGCACACACAAGAGCTGTGGAGCTGGGAAGAGTTGAACATGCTTGGTAACAATTACATCATCCATTCTGTACCCCAGAGAAAAGGTTCATAAAAAGAAACAGTATGGAATAAATTAGGAAATAAGAGTCTAGAGTCTCTGAGTTTTCTATGAAAAATCTTGTCAATTGTATACAATAAGCATTTATTAAGAATGAGGTGGACAGCAGTGAGGGTGGATGGGGTGGCAGTGTTCCTGGGGTCTGAAGCAGAGTAGAATAACCAAATGGTTAGAGTAATCATTGCAATTGCATAGGATGTTGTTTTGATGTTCTCTGCTTTATTCTTTGGATACACATATTGCTAGCTCCTCTGTGTTATCTACTGTATCTTTTGAGAAATTTATGAGAAGTCTCCTTTGCCTGGGAGGAAAAGGGGTGAGTATGAGATATTTCTTACACCATCTTTCTTACCACAGGCTCAGTTTATTAAAGCTCATGTTGGTGAACTGCACAGCTCTATTTGAGTTTAAAGAGGCTAACTTCTCCTTTCTCTTGCCCTCTCAGACTGGTAGTGGAAATATGTTACCAAAAACCCCACATTCCTACGGTTCCATTACTTAACTCCTTGTCTTGCCTGTTGTCAAATATGCCTTTGATTGGTACAGCTTTGATGCCGTATTAGTTTTATGTGGCTGTGTCTTAGTTAGCTTTGTCAACTTGACACAGCCCAGAATAACCTGAGATGGGAGTCTCAATTGAGGTATTGCCCAATGCCTTCTCTGTGGGAGACTGTCTTGATTATTAACTGATGTAGGAGGGTCTGGCCCACTGTGATCAGAACCATTACTAGGGAGGTAGTCTTGGGCTGTATAAGAAAGCTAGTTAAGTGTGAGCCTATGAGCAAGACAACAGGTGGCATCCCTCTGTGGTTTCTTCTTGAGCTTCTTCCCTGATTCCCCTCAATGACAGTCTGTGATTTGGAAGTGCAAGCTAAATAAGAGTGTTTTATCACAGCAAGAGGAAGCCAGAACAGGACATTACAAAATTTCACTGTGAAACTGATTGCTTAAAACATCATGCATTCCACTAGATTGGTTTGGTTCTCATCCTCTATCCCTTACCCTCCATTGCCCACGCCTCATCCTCACATTACTCATGGAGATCTCATCTATTTCTCCTTCCCAGGGTGATCCATGCATCCCTCTTTAGGCCCTCTGCATAGGTGAGACAGTTGTGTAGCTTGATCTGCTTAAGGGGCCCTGTGGTCCTGGTTCATGAGGAGACTTTTTGGAGCCCACTACCTATGGTGGAACACCTCATCCAGCCTTGAGGCAGGGAGATGGGCTTGGACCTGCCTTTAATGAATGAACCAGGCTAGACTGACTCCTCATGGGAGGCCTTACCTTCTTGTAGGAGGGAATGGGGGGTGTGTTTGAGGGGGAGGCTGGAGGGGCAGGAGGAGGGAAAAGGGGGATCTATGATTGGTATGTAAAATGAATAAAAAATTTCTTAATAAAAAAATAAAAAATCATGTATTTATTCTATTTCTGAATGGTATAAGTGTGAGAAGAGCATGTGAGTATCAGTGTGGGTGCTGCAAGGGCTATATTCCTTTGGGAATATTCAGGGAGAATCTGTTTACTGCCTTTTCCAGTTTCTATTTGGCTGTTGCAGTCTTTGACTTGTTCCCATTTTTTTCTCCATTTTTCAAGTCATTTTTCTATGTGCGTTATTAGCTCCTCTTTCTATGTGACATGGTCGTCTGCCTTTTTTTTTTTTTACTGACATATATGACTAAATATAAGGATCACCTCAGATTCCATATGTTGGGGAATATTATTTTAAAGTGTGTTGCACTTTTCCTACTGCTTTTGTGAATAATTCAAAGATGTTTTTGATGAAATGAAATTAACCTGCAAGCAGGAGGCTGAGTCAGCAAGTAGCTGACAGGAAGTGGTAAGGAGGAACTGTGTGTAGCAAGGGTTTTTTAAGTGGGGGCTGAGAGGATGACTCTGGGTTTTTTGGAAGACACCAGCAAAGGGAGAATGTTAGCAACTTGCTATTCAGCCTCTTTGAGTGAGTAAAATTCCACCTAAACCATTGAATCATGAGTTCTTGGGGTTTAGATAAAGTTTCCCTTAGTAGCTTTGAAAGAAGTGGTGTCAGAGGGAACAGAATCCCCTCAGGCTGCGGCCCTTGCAGCCAAACTGCTGCTGGTAGCAGCAGAGCTGCAATCTCTAATCTGCAATCTCTAATGACCAATACAGCCATTGCTTCAGGGGCAGCCACTGTAGATAATAAAAAACAGATAACAACGTCCATAATTCAATATATGTCTACCCTTTCACTTTATACAGAGAAATCTATAGGTTCCAAGATCAGGTCCCAGTACTTATGAAATATATAACTTTTTATTAACTCCTAGAGAATTTCATATATGCCTACAATTTTGATTGTATTACCCTCCATTCACCCCAACTCCTCCCACATCTACCTTAACCCCACCATCCTTGCAACTCCATACATTCTTTTTTTATAACTCATATAGTCTAATTTGTGCTGCCTATATACACATGGGTATGGGCCATCCATGGGAGCATCCCTGATCTACTAGGGGCCACACTCTTTCAGAAATTTGTTTCTCTCCTAGCATTCATTAACTGCCATTAGCTCCTCAGCTAGGGGTGAGGGTTTGTGATACCCCTTCAATCAAGCTGAAGTGTTGACGGGCTTGGTCTTGTACAGGTGTCATGTAGCCAGTCATAGCTGCTGGGAGTTCATGCTTGAGTTCTACCACGTTTTGAAGACACCCTTTTGTTCTGGCTCTCCTCAACCTCTGGCTCTTATAATCTTTCTTCTCACTCTTCTGTGATGGTCTCTGAGCATTAGAGAGTGTGTGATATAGATGTCCCATTTGTGGCTGAGCACCCGCTGACACCTATTTGGTGAGTTGTGAGTTTCTGCACTAGCTTTCAGCGTTTCAAAAAGATGAATTTAATGTGGAGACAGGCTACTTCTAGCTACTTCTAGCAGGGAAAGCCTGGAGGCTGGGAGTCATTTATTTATAAAATTCAAATCTCATAGTGCTGACTACTTAGTATACCACTGAGAGTATTGGACTCTTAGTAGTGTGTATTCCATGTCATCAATCACTAGTGATTACAAGCTTGCCGCATTATGTTGAGATCAGGCCTAGCTCAGTTACAGGGGATAAGAGCCTGCTACCGGGTCTAGAACCACATAGAAGGTATGAAATTTAGTTGCTTTGAGTTCTTCTTTCCTAAAATGATTATTTTTTACTTACTGCTTAGGAAATATTGCATCTACACTATCATGAGTGCCTTGTCAGATACATTACTGATTCAACAAAAAAATGTTGCACCTGGAATTTAATCCTAGGGGTTAAAGGCAAGGAAGGAGACATCCTTGGTCTAGGAAACTATTTACAATAAAATCTTAATGGCATTCACTAGAAAAATACTACCCAGAAGCATATGGTTTTTGAGATGTGCCAAAGTAATACTGCAGAAAACAATACAGCACAAGTATTTTGTGTAATTTTAGAAATGTAATTTCAATGGTTGACATTTCTTATGTACTGTAATAATGGATAAATGCAAGAGAATCTCCGCTGTAGGCTGTTTTGGCAAAATGTGAACAGTTCTCTTGCCACTGTTACTTTTTTACTTATAAAATATACTCAGAAATAAAATACATAGACCAATAAAGTTTTATTTAGTATGAAGAAAATTTAACTAACAAGATATCTCAATTCTATCCCTTTCCCAAACATAGCATACTCTTGAAGTTTATCTTAAGGATATTTCCCCACCACTATATTCTATTACCTGTTGTTCATTTTGGAAATTTCTTAATTTGACAAGATGGGTACTATCAGGTAGCATTCAACTTCTGCCCTTTCATCAAAGAGATTGTCTATGCATTTGCTATATGTATGTGATATGAAATTATATTTACCTTTTGAAATTAGAACTCTATGAAATGTTCATGGAAATGAGCAAGAAGAAAGCCCCCAAAATGTGCCTGTGGCCAGAGTTCAGAGACATAAATGAACTGAAATATCATGTTCATCACAGCCCCAGAGAAGAGAAGGATACACGCATTATAAAAGGGTCAGCATTTTTTTCTTAAATGTTTTATTTTCTATAGTTTCATTAATACATACAATTTATTGTGTGTATAGTCACCTGCATCACTCTCTATTATTACCTTTTCTTTCTCTCTGAATTATTTTTCTTCCCAATGGATATACTATTAAAGAAAATGACACCCCCCCTCTTTAGCAACCATTACAGTCAAGACCTCCATAGCAAGGGGTGGAGCCTGGTGAGAACATTCTCATTCAAGGCAAAATGCTAAAGGGTCCAATCTTGTGCTGGTATGTCCATGATTGCAATGGCCAATGTTATATCTAATGAGACTTGTTGTATTCAGGGTGGTATGGCTATAGACCATGTTGTATTTGAATGGCAGCATTTCATAGTACTCTTCTTCACTCTGTGACTCTTTTTTTTTTTTTTTTTTTGGTTTTTTGAGACAGGATTTCTCTGTGTAGCTTTGCGCTTTTCCTGGAACTCACTTGGTAGCCCAGGCTGGCCTTGAACTCACAGAGATCCGCCTGCCTCTGCCTCCCAGAGTGCTGGGATTAAAGGCGTGTGCCACCACCGCCCGGCTCATTCTGTGACTCTTAAATTCTTTCATTACCATGTTCTTCAATGTTCCTTGGGCCTTGGGTGGGTGGTGGTGGAGATATAGATGTCCTGCTTAGGGTTCAGTGCTCATTAGTCACTTATTCTCTGTACTTTGACCAGACAGGAATCTCTGCATTAATTTTTGCCCTCTGACAAAAGGAGCCTGTATACCCAATGCTGTCTATGGGCATAAACAAAAATAGGAATGCCAAGGCCCGTGCAACTTGAGCATAAGATCTGGTGAGGGATGCTGAGGTTAAACAGCACTCTAGACACCCAGTTTCAGTTCATCAGGCAAGCAGCTCTCTTTATTCGTACCAACATGGGCTTATATACCCCTCTAACAGCAGGGGTCAAGGAATGGTTACTCTGTATCCGGAGGCAAGCTGGACACTGTTTTCCAAACAGGAAAAACCACAGGGGAACTGATCCCCAGCACCCTATGGAACCCAACTGCACATTTTTCACACAAACAACTTAACTGGGACAGGACAAAAAAAGGCATTTAAAATTAAGGCAGCAAACATACTGCTGCCGACATAGGAAGCTTTACAATATGCCCACATAGGGGAAGGAACAGAAGTATGTCCCCACTTGGGCCCATGACCTTCTCAGCCTTAGGCTTTAACATTGGCTGTGATCTACAACTTGACCCTAAAATAAAACCACAGTAGTCATAGTATACTCATGGAAAATACTCATTTAAATCAATGAACTCCAGGAAGAGAATCAGAATATATTCAATTCTGATAATCAGAATACAAACTCAATTCATTCTTTGGATAGATGCAGAGAAGGGTTGAAGGGATTACTGTCACTCATTCCTGGGAAGCTGCAGTAGTTTATATCTATGGTAGGTAAGTTAAGGTGAAATTCCATTTTCATGAGAGGCTACACTCTCTCACCAAACTCTGCAGGCACATTTGAGGCTTGTTTGAGAGTATGTCCACTGTCTCTTCACAGCAGGGCTGCGTGACTTAAGTGCTGGATAAATCCTCGGGTTCTCCTCACATGGGGAAAGGCACAGCTGCACCTAGGCTTGCTTTGGGTTCTTTTCCAAGTGCCACCTCTGCCCTTTTCTTGGTGCTTCCCTCTGTTCTGTAACCATCTTTGTATATGAGGTCTATGGAAAATGCTGAAGGAAGACCCGAGACTCAAATAGTATGTAAGAGCAAAGAGCATTTATTTACCAGAATATGTGGGGTTCGATCACCTGTAGAAAATGGTGATGATTCTGAGTGGAGCGTACAGGGTCCTTCTAAGCACAGCTAGGGGAATTTGAGGAACAGTTAGGTCATCTCAAATACTATTGGTTAAATAAGCAGCAATGACATTAGTATACCTTTAACTGGCTGAGGTTTTATCTTTGGACATGCTTGGATAAGTTTCAAGGGGGTTGCAGGAACTGTCCCTGAGACATTGTGGGCCTGACTCAGGCCTTGTTTGGACTCTCTCCCTCGCCCCTGGATGTAATTTGTTAATAAATGTCCCTTTGTTGGGAGAGACACCTGTTTGCCCCTCTCAGAGAACTGAAACCTAAATTCAGTTGTAAAAGTGGAAAAGTTTAAACCCTTCACTCCTCCCTTGAGACTGGCTCCATTTTAAATCCTTGAGATGAGTCTAGGGGCTGATATTGGGATCTAATAATCATCAGTTTAGTGGTACCCATATAGGAATTATC